CAGACTCATTGCTCACAAACCATCTGTGCCCCATTACCCATAAAAGGGATTCCCTGTGCCCCATGACCCATAGTCCGGGCTGTGATCCCTTGTTTCCCAGCGAATTTCTCTGATGTTTCCCTGTGTTTGAAGTGAGATGTTTGAAACTTTTTATATGCACATGGAGATGGTTTTATATCTGGCTGCAAAGTCTGATTACAGATGGAGAAGAGGCCATCGAGACCAGAAATACAAATTCAGATTTTGTATTGAAATCCTGTGTACATTTAAGCACCTGAAGCCCCTAGTTCAGGTCGTTAATGTGCTGCGATACCATGTGGAAGCAGGTGCATAATATCCTATTAGGGGTGGTCTTTCTGCCTTGGTTTTACCAAGGGGGTCTGCATGCTTTAAATTTGGACTACATTGATTCCACTGTGATGTAAGGATGATATTATCGAGTTATACAGGCAGCTCTATCCTTTGTGTATAAGGGTGTATATATATATATATATTGGTGGGCTGCTAAATGAGAATCTGTCCACAAAACAAAGGTAGGAACTGTGGAAAAAAGACCGGGCTGTATAGAAATGTATGTAGGGAAAATATAAATAAGAATAGATAGGAATAATAAGAGCCATGGTGTGGTGTTGAAGTGCGGTGAAGAGGATGCTGTAGAGCAGAAGGAAAGGAGGGGTGAAGGAATTTGTTGAAATTATCCAATTTCTCCCTTTTTCATTTGAGCTTCCTCCTTGTTTACTCCAGCAACCTCCTTCACCCCACCTCTTCCTTCTTTACGCCAGCATTTTCCTTCAGCCCATTTCTCTCTCGATTTTAGTATCTTCTTTCACCCCGACGCTTCCTTCCAAAGAAGAAAGTGGTGGGGTGAAGGCTGATGCAGAAGTAAAGAAGGAAGTGATGGGGTGAAGGACAATGCTGGAGTGAAGAAGGAAGTGATGGAGTGAAGGACGATGCAGGAGTGAAAAAGTAAGTGACAGGATGAAGGATGAAGCTGAAGTGAAGAAGGAAGAGGTGGGGTGAAGGACAATGTTCGAGTGAAAAAAGAACAGGTGGGGTGGATGATGTCGGAGTAAAGAAGAAAGAGGTGGGGTAAAGGTCGATGCTGGAGTGAAAGAGGAATCCATTATTTGCGGCCCTTTATCTCCTTTAGCGCAGCTCTGAAATAGTATACAGATAATAAGAGGCCAGTGATTAGCTATGAGAGCGGAGTCAAGTCTGCAGCTCAGCTCACACTGACTTGTCATTGGCTGAGCTGTGTTCCTATCAATCAGGAAGTCATTTGGCGAAACATGGTGGGGTGGCCTAAGGGGTGGGGTTAAAACCTATGTAGAATGCATATTCTATATATTTAGTTAATAAAATGATATGGGATCCAACAAAATTATATAGGATCTAATATCTAACAACAAAGTTTTCCAGTTTTTATAAAAAAAAACTACTAAATTCCATTGATAAGCCCCGGGGAGTGAAAAGGTCAATATATTTTGGGGTGTTGTTGTATTGTTGCATGTTTCTTGTACTGAGAGATAATTTAATTATATGTTTGTGTACTCAAGTAATTATCTCCCAGGCACAGGGGAGGGATTGACCTATTTTGTATGGGAGTGTCCTGGACCTGAGAGCCAATGTAATCAAGTGTATGTTTTTACTGTAGTCTACTCTCAGGTCCAGAGGGGAGTGCCCTTTGCATGGGGACCTGCATATAAGGCCAGTTTTGGCTCCCATTATACGAGTTTCTGCCTACCCTCAACATAGAGTCTCATCTCGTGTGTGGGGGGACAGCTGAATCTGCTCTGGGGATTGCTATATCACTATACTCCTCTGGGTTATAATCACTTGCTCTTGTAAGAGCAGCCTGCTACACTCTCTGGAGTAGGAGAGGTCTGCCCACTGGAAGCTGGATCCTGGTCTTGGGTCCAGTGTGGGTGAAGGGTGACGACACCCCAGCCAAGCTGTAACGCTGGAAGTGGGGACTGCTGTGCTGATGGTGTCTGGTGGAGTGCTTGGAAGTACTCGGAGGTAGTTGGAAGCAGTGATTGGCGGAGGCACCCACTCGAAGTGCCAGGCAGTCCGTCACAGTTTTCATTTCAGCCGAAAATTATGACGTGAAAAAGATCTGTTTTTTGGCATTCCCAGCAGGCGTCAATGGATTGGAGTCCCAGAAAGGAATTGCCATAAGGGAAAAATGTAACATCTGGAAAATATAAAGATACCGATAATGCAGACAATGACCTGGACCCAGAGTACTATCTGCAGAGTCTCTCTGCCCACAGCCATCAAAACATTGCCACAGGTTACCATGGCAATGCTCGGTGCAGCACACCAGGCTCAAGAAAGTTGGAGAGAAGACAGAAGATAGCAGATGCTGGGTCCAGACCACTGCCTCTACAATGTGAAACCCCCTGGCTCGTACACAAAGTCACTGGAATTACAGGGAGTGGAAAGCTCTATTTACCTGTGGCCAGGGAGGTGAGAATAAAATGAAAATAAATTTTTGAATTTAAAAAAAAATAAAAATTAAACAATGCAATAATACGTATACAAAATAATTTTATTTCTAAAATAAAGTTTCAAAATCCACAGATTCCTACCCCACATATTTACACACACACACACACACACACACACACTGCATCCACTACACAAACACACTGACACGTTCAGTTAACAGTAGATTTGTGTAGAAATAGTTTATTTTTTCAAAACGGTAAATGTACAGAATATCGGTAAATTATCGGCCTGAAAGTTCACAGATTATCGGTATCGCCTCTAAAAAAATCAATATCGGTCAATCGCTAACTCCAACTTAAATTTTTTTTTTATCGATTTCTGTTTTAACATTTGTTTACAGTGTTCCTTAACCCTGTATATGTCAGACATCCCTGCCCCCACACCAGTTTACTTTAGAGAGTCCTCTATCGCCGCTGCTCCCCCCACCCCTGAGAGGTGGCAATAGTCTCTTTTCCTGTCCAGACTGAATTTGCGCATGTCAAATATTATCACTAATGCCCTTCTCCTATACATACCCCTAAACTCATCACCCAAAGCAAGTTTTGCCACCTAAAATCCAGAGATCAAAAACCAATTCAGATAATGTTTATCAATTATTCCGATTGTTTGACAAAGTATGTTTGTATACGCATCCATTACACAGAAAGCCGCACAGCATCTTTTAATACCGTGTTTAAACCCAAATCTAATTACCCAGGTGATGTCGTTTCCATGTAAATATTTTCTCAGGAGTCTGTCGGGATGAATTATAACCTGGGAAACTTATCACCCGAATGCTCTGGCAGGTTACAAGCATTTTTACAACTTCTGAGCAACACGTAGCGCTACTGTTCAGAGGCAAGACGTTCTTGAAGGCTGTGTCATCTCTCTACTGGCAGAGACCAAACTAGATAAAACCCTTTTTCCTGGAGACACCCTGCACTCAAAGGCAGGTGCGCTCGAGTCCCACTCGCTAAAGGGCAAAGGGTCTCCGTGAAAACGTTTCACAATCCTCTTTCTTCTCCCTTCAGAGCAGCAGGGAACTTCTCCTCTTGTTCCTTAACTGCCCTGCGGGAGAATTCACTTTCTCCATCATTAACCTTGTGCGTCCCCTTGCATTATATCCACGCATTGTGTTTCTAGCGTCTCTGTGGCGGCCTATTTCGTACAGGTGAATGTAGTCTGTTTAAATGGGTTCCGGCGCAGCAAGACTGACTGAAGTCTGAGATCTGAAAACGCTGTCTACTTTTTCTATATATAAATATATATATATATATTTTTTTCTTATAAAGTCCCCTGAATGAAGGATATTGTCAAATGTCAAAGCACAGGGAAGGCAGAATCCGTGCTGCCTTCCTGCTGATTGCTAGGTACATAATAAAGCATTGATGGTGTTGAAAGATGGATGCTGTAAACAAAAAACAAATGCACCCCATTGATCGCAGACAAAGAGGTTTTGAAGACGGATCTATCTGTCGATGCTGCTTTGTTCATTTTCCTTCAAAGCTCTGCTCTGCATGGCTCCGGGATAAAGCTTTATTGGGGAGCTGTGCAAAAACCTACCGACTTTCTAAACTTGATTTAAATTAATATAATACATTGAATATGTCCTTAGCCCTAGTTTTTGGCTAGTCAAGAGCATGCTAGCTAGATTGTAAGCTACTTGGACCAAGGCCTCCATTGTTAATTGCAAGATTCTCGTTGCAGTATTAATCATGACAACAGATGTAAAACCATCTGTACACTATAAGTTCCTTGAGTGTAAAGCTGCCATTTCGCTATAAGAATTATGGGCACACTGGCAGAACCCCTTGGTCAGATACTTCAATGTAATGATAGATCATAAATTCAGTGCTACAATTTTTCCTACAAAGTTTCTGCTCTTTGGGACAGGGAAGGTATTAATGGCAATGAATAAGCTCTGTGGTAAAGGGCTTCTTGTGTTAGCACCAGACTGTAAGCTCTTGGGGTAAATATCCAAATACAACACTAGGGCGTGCGGTGCATACATTGTGAAAGAGACTGCCCATATTTCCTCTAGATTGTAAGCTCATTTGGGAAAGGTCTTGGTTCATGGCACAGTGAGACAGGATTTCCTGTGTTAACAATAGATTGGCTTTCTTTGAAGCACATTTCTAGCATTAGACAATTCAGTCACAGCCATCAAAATGCGTTGGGTAAAATATTCTCATTAAGCTAACATTGCAATCCTCTTTCCCCCCTCCGTGTGCCCATCATCACTGTTTTGGGTTATTTATGAAATTCACAGGGAAATTGCAAACTGTAGGCCAAAATATCCCAAACTGAAAAATTATTAAAGTCCGCAAACTTGTTGCAAGTTAAAAAAAACCTGCGTTGTCTCAGTTTAAAACTGGCTTTCCTGACTTTCTTCTTGCCATCCTAGCTGTAAACCAGGGCTGTGATTATGAGCAAAATAAACTCTCAAACGGCTGACTTGCGGGGTTAACAATCTTAGGTGTCTAAGTTTCTACTCTGCTGTTGTAGAGGACGTGAGAAGCCCATTTTAGCCATGTACTTTCTCTTACCAAATCCCCCATCTGCTGGATATCATTCTAATGCTCCTATTTAAATCCACCGCTTGGATCACTTTAAACTGTAATTATCTGACCAACAGGGTACAGAGGTGCTCAGAACACAGTGAGAGGTTACAGGTTTTTATTGGAGAAAACACCTATTAACAGTAAGGCATCAGACACAATTTATTACAAATTTAACAGGAAAAATATTTGGGAACAAAAATTCAGTTCACAAACAGATTGTTACAATTAGACAGCAGAGCAGAGGAATGTGAGGATTTTGGCGTTCCAACACGTTCCCCTTAGTTTCTATAATACTGAGCACCTCCAACATATGATGCAAATGTTCATGTGGCATTTGAAATGAAAGGTAATGTTGATCCATAGACGCACTAAATTCTCTCTAAGTGCGTTTCTGTCACAGGGCATTTTGGCAGTGATGTAAGGAGAGGTGGCTATACCATCTGGTGATGACACTTGTTTCGATATCCCCTATATTTAACAAAACATATATTGGCGAATTGTGTAAAATTAAATGTAAAAGCTACACCTCTTTATCCTGCAACTGGGCGCCTCCATCTTGACTCTCTGTCAATCATTGTTATAAGCTCTGCACCTGGAAGTCAGCATTGAGAGAGAGTACAGAGAAGAGGAGAAATGGAACAATGTTTCTATTCTTCTCATCTACAGTGTTTGCCCTGGCTATGCCTCGAATGAGCTAGATTGTGATATCATTCAGTAAATATTTAGCATAAAAATGAAACAGATACTCCCAGCACCAGTACATCGCCAGGTTTCGGTTTCCCCCTCCACTGATAGGAGGGAAACGGATATGTGGAGGGCAGGCTGAGGGGAAGGCATTGGCAGCACAGAGGGGAACCATGCTGCCATTAGACAACTGTCACCAGCATGCTGTCCCATATCCATAGGATTGCCATTGGCCAGCCCACGACCCTTGTTCCAGGACGTCGAATGACAACCCAATGACACTGCTGAAGGTGGAGTTACACCTCTGATAGCAAAGGGGTTAAACTTGGAATGTGCAGAGTCTCAAAGCAAAACACGGCACCTATAGACTACAGGTAGCATGACCACTTCAAATCACTGAAGTGGTCATGGTGTTGAAAGTAACTCTTTATGGGTTTCACTCACTAGAACCTGGCACAATGAACACTGTTTATTTTGGTAGTCGTAGATGTATTTCCTGCATTTGCTGCTCTGACCATATACCGTATATACTCGAGTATAAGCCGACCCGAATATAAGCCGAGGCCCCTAATTTTACCCCAAAAAACTGGGAAAACGTATTGACTCGAGTATAAGACTAGGGTGGAAAATGCAGCAGCTACTGGTAAATTTCTAAATAAAATTAGATCCTAAAAAAATTATATTAATTGAATATTTATTTACAGTGTGTGTATATGATGAATGCAGTGTGTGTATGAGTGTGCAGTGTGTGTGTGTATGAGTGCGCAGTGTGTGTGTGCATAAATGCAGTGTGTGTGCATGAATGCAGTGTGTGTGTATGAGTGCAGTGTGTGTGTATGAGTGCAGTGTGTGTGTATGAGTGCAGTGTGTGTGTATGAGTGCAGTGTGTGTGTGTGTATGAATGCAGTGTGTGTGTATGAGTGCAGTGTGTGTATATGAGTGCAGTGTGTGTATGAATGCAGTGTGTGTGTGTATGAATGCAGTGTGTGTGTATGAGTGCAGTGTGTGTATGAATGCAGTGTGTGTGTGTGTGATGCAGTGTGTGTGTTGCAGAGCCTTGGTGGGGGGTGGGCATTTTTATAAAAAAAAAATATTTTAATTTTTTTTGTTATTTTTTTTGTTATATTTTTTATTATTATTTTTATTATTTATTTATTTTTCGTCCCCCCTCCCTGCTTGATACATGGCAGGGACGGGGGCTCTCCTTCCCTGGTGGTCCAGTGGCATTGGCAGTTCAGTGGGGGGAGGAGGTGGGCGGGCAGGAAGCACTTACCTCTCCTGCAGCTCCTGTCAGCTCTCTCTTCCGCGCCGGTCCGTGCAGCTCCTCTGTCAGCTCACACTGTAAGTCTCGCGAGAGCCGCACTATGACCCCGCGGCTCTCGCGAGACTTACACTGGGAGCTGACCGAGGTGCTGACCGGACCGGCGCGAAGGAGGAGAGAGCTGACAGGAGCTGCAGGAGAGGTAAGTAACAGCTCTGCCAGCCCCCCAGTCTGTATTATGGCAATGTAAATTGCCATAATACAGACAATGACTCGAGTATAAGCCGAGTTGGGGTTTTTCAGCACAAAAAATGTGCTGAAAAACTCGGCTTATACTCGAGTATATACGGTAGTTTAAAGCAGGCTTCCCCAAACTCTGGCCCTCCAGATGTTGCTGAACTACAACTCCCATGGTTCTATGAATGAAATTGATAGGCTGAGAATCATGGGAGTTGTAGTTCAGCAACATCTGGAGGGCCGGAGTTTGGGGAAGCCTGGTTTAAATGGACACTTACTATGGGTTCCTTTCTATGTTTAGATTCAGAGCCATTAAACTTACCTATAATCCAAATGGCATGTTCCACCAATCCCATGTCTCTCATACAGAAGCACAGAGTTGCATGTTTCTCTATAAGAGACATTAGCCATCTTCGGGATAGCCATGCTGTGTATAATGGCACCGAACATGAAGACATCTGAAAATTGAAAATCTCAAGGAGGAAATTCTGGGGTTTATTCCAGAAATATTTGCCAAGCCACTGTTCCCTGCTTGAATACCTTGGCCCACATGTCACAACTGATAGGTTGGGGCGCGTACAAAGTGCTGGAGTATCCCTTTAAAGAGATTTCCCTTTAACCCGGATTTGACCTATTAATGAGCTCTGGAATGTTGCATTCAACCCCCCTGTAAGCAAATCTGATCATCTAGAAATTATGCATTTGACAATTATCTGCAAACCTTACAATACAATAAACAGTTTCTAGTGTTTTGTTATTATTTTTCTTTATTACCCCACTCCAAAGCACTACAATTAACCCCTTCAGGATGGAGTCAATAGTGCACGTTCTGATCAAAACAAAACGCAAACAAAAACTAGAATTTGCGCTATATGTCTGTTCAACCGTAATTCACCGCTGTCACATTAAGTGCACCCACACTTATTATATATCATTTTGTTCAGGAGAAACAGGGCTTTAATTTATCATTAACTATTCATATATGGAACATAATTTATTATGAATAAAAAAATTTAAAAAATGTGAGAAAATACGATTTTTTTTTTACATTTGTATTTCTGTCTGACATTTTAGCTGTGAATGTCATAATACTGTTAGGTTTTACTGCAAAAAAATGCACATATTTGTAATCGGCGATGTCTCACGAGTACAACAGTAACCCCCATTAACAGGTTTTATGGTGTTTTGGAAAGTTACAGGGTCAAATATAGAACGTTCCATTTTCACATTGAAATTTGCCAGATTAGTAATGTTACCTTTGAGACGGTGTGGTAGCCCAGGAATGAGAATTACCCCCATAATGGCACACCATTTGAAAAAGTAGACAATCCAAGGTATTGAAAGTGGGGTATGTTTAGTCTTTTTTGTAGCCACTTAGTCACAAACACTGGCCAAAGTTAGCGTTCATATTTGTTTTTGTGTGAAAAAAGCAAAAAAATGATATTTTGCCAGTGTTTGTGACTAAGTGGCTACTAAGAAAGACTGGACATACCCCACTTGCAATACCTTGGGTTGTCTACTTTTGCAAATGGTATGCCGTCATGGGGGTAATTCTCATTCCTGGGCTACCATACGCTCTCAAAGGCAACATAACCAATCTGGCAAATTTCAATGTCAAAAAAATGAAATGCAAGCCTCATATATGACTCTCTAACTTTCCAAAACAACATCAAACCTGTACATGGGGGGTACTGTTATTCTCGGGAGACTTCACTAAACACAAATATTAGTGTTTTAAAACAGTAAAACATATTACAACAATAATATAGTCCATAAAAGTGCCGTTCGTTTGTAAAAAATGCAAAAAACTTCACTTTTACTTAAAATATCATCGTTGTAATACAATTTATCATTTTGAAACACTAATATTTGAGTTCAGTGAAGTCTCCCGAGTAAAACAGTACCCACTATGTACAGGTTTTATGATGTCCTGGAGAGTTACAGGGTCAAATATAGTGCTTGCGAATTAAATTCTCTGCACTTTCTCCCTGTGTTGCTAGACATGTCAATCAAATTTTAATTAATCAAATCACATAATTACTGTATATACTCGAGTATAAGATGAGTTTTCCGGCACATACTTATACTTATCGTCTTATACTCGAGTCAATATCTGTATTATGGCCATAATAAAGACCAGGACCGCTGGGCTCATTTCAAGCCCGGCAGTCCTGTTGGGGGCTGGCAGCGAGCTGTTACTTACCTTTACAGCAGCTCCTGTCAGCTCCCTTCTCCTCCGTTCCGGTCACCTCCTGTGTAAGTCTCGCGAGAGCCGAGGCATCAGAGCCCGTGGCAACGCTCCACGCGAGACTTACGGTGGAGCTGACATGAGCTGCTGTAAAGGTAAGTTACATCTCGCTGCCAGCCTCCCTCCTACACAGCCCATCCATTGGACCACCAGGGAATAATACAGCCCCCCTGCCTGGCCAGCTAACAAGCAGGGAGGGGGGACGAAAAAAATAATATAAAAATGTTAATAATATTAAAATAAAATAAAAAATGTAATAATATTAAAATAAAATGTAATATTAAAATAATAAAAAAATAAATATTAAAAATGCCCACCCCCCACCAAGGTTACACACACAGCATTCATACACACACACACTGCATTCATACACACACTGCATTATATACACACACACACACTGCATGATATACACACACTGCATGATATACACACACTGCATTCATACACACACACTGCATTATATACACACACTGCATTCATACACACTGCATTCATACACACACACACACACTCTGCATTATATACACACACACTGCATTCATTATATACACACACTGTAAATAAATATTAAATTAATATAATTTCTTGGGATCTAATTTTATTTAGAAATTTACTAGTAGCTGCTGCATTTCCCACCCTAGTCTTATACTCGAGTCAATAAGTTTTCCCAGTTTTTGGGGGTAAAATTAGGGGCCTCGAATTATATTCGGGTCGACTTATACTTGAGTATATATGGTATGTTAAAAGATTACTTAAATATATACGTAGAATTTTAATATATATGCATTTATAGGTATTTAAATTCTACGTGTATACTAATGTAATCTTTTATGTGATTATATGTATTTATCTATCTATATATATATATATATATATATATTTGCGGTTATTTGTATTTTATATATAGATAGATATATATAGAATGCCATTCTAAGTGTATTTTGTTACCAATATATATATTAATAACAAAATACAGTTAGAATGAAATTATATATGAATATACAATTTATATTACATTTTGTTTCAATATTTTATTTATTTTATTTATTTATTATTGTAATTATATGTATATATATAATATATATATACATATTATATATGTCACGCCATTCTAAGTGTATTTTAATACTAATATATGTACTTATTTTAATATTAAAATACACTTTGTATGATGTTACATATATATAATATGTATATATATATTATATATATATAATAGATATATATATATATTGTATTTATAAAAATACATTTATTTTAATTTTACACATGTTTAATTCTTTTTTTTTTACTTTCCCACCAGCAGGGGGACTGTCTGACATTTCAGACAGTCCCCCTGCTGGCAGATCCACAGCCAGCTATTGGGGGCCATATTTGCCGGGGGAGGGCTGTCAGAAGAGGATCGCGGCGGAGGTAAGTCCACCGGACCTCCAGGGGCTGCAAGCCGTTACGGCGTTCTATGCCGCCGCAACGGCTTTAAATCCCTTTTAATGCGGGACGGCATAGAACGCCGTAACGGCGTTAAAGGGTTAAAGGGACACTCAGGACTGCTAAAGCAACAAAACTTTCTGAAATGCTTTATATGTAAAGAATGAGTCCTCTTTTTTTTCATTTTACAAATAGCGCAGCTTTCAATAGAAATTGGAACTTTTATAAATTAACCTGGTTACACCCCCCTAGCTGTCAATCAGACAATCAGTCCTGTTACTTCCTGGTTTGGTTAGCTCAGCGGAGATAAACCCAAGACGCAGCAACAGCCCAGAGCATCCGCCTTGCAAATACTTTCCATCGAGCTGCATAGGGAAGTCTTTTTTGTTGGGGGTATATCTACTAAACAGTATTTTTTCTTAATTTGGGGAGTGTCCCTCAAAATAAAAATGGAATTTATTTTGCAACTCTCCCCCCTCTTTTCTCATGTTTTAGCTCTGCCTCCCATTTAGCTACTGTGGCCCAAACCAAACAAAAAACAATATTTACTACCCAACAGACTGACCCAATATGAAGAGGAGAATTCCTCTGGGGTAATGCATAAAATAAAAATATCAAATGGAGTACAAACACAAGTTATATTAACCCATCACATTCCCTATTGAAAGAATATATATTTATATTATTATTTTTTTGATTGCCATCAAGACTCGGTGCCCATTTCCTCAATTATCTCTTGATGGAATTAACATAATAAGCAGGTGAAACAATTATTTTCTTGCACATTAAGAGTTAAAACTGTGTGATTTTGGCACTTGGGAAAACTTTTTAAATCAGGGTTTCTATTTCTTGCGCTCGATATTACCTCGTGCGTTCTGCCCATGTCAATTTCACTCGAACTACAGAAAGTAAACTTAAAGACGTCACAAACGAATAAAAACCCTGTAATAACAGAACATGGACCAGTGTAACAGTATCAAGCTACAAGTTTGTCAGTCATCTTGTGACCAGAAGGGCATGCATAGAAAAGGAGCGATAAGCCATTCTTGGTGCAAAGGGATTCTGGGTGTATTTTTGGCTATTACAGCTGTGCTTGAGTGAGAGGGGCATTACAGTCCTCCTCCTGGCAGTGATCTGGTTGATGTTGAAGGTGATCTCTGGATTCATTGCGGATCCTAATGCACTTTTTGATTTGTGAGGCTCCCAGCTAGTGCCCACGATGACCACCACCTCTGGTTACCCTAAGGCCACAACTTTATCCGGCCTTATCTTGCTCAATGATGTTTTCCCATGGACAGATTACCTCTTGTATCGATTCCTTACAGGCCAGCTGACTATCCTCGTCATCTTCCTCTGAGTCGATTGGGTAGACGCGACATTCAGAGGGAATGTCCACCTTAATCTGGAAAAAGCTGAGGTTCGGGGCAATAACAAACCGTTAAATTTTGAAAATGGACAAGGTGATGTTTGATCCACAAAGACATAAGCGTGAGCTTGTATTAACCACAGCTTACCCATTGCTACATGGTCATGAACCTCTGTTTCTATGATTAGCAGTGGAAAGCTGGTGGTGTAATACATAGATGAAGGAAGTGCAGGGGTACATACAGATGGTAGGAATATCAAAGCAGATTTGATGACATCTCCGGCATGCATTTCTTGAAGTTTTCTCCACATAAATTAAAATAAATATGGTTGCTCTAGGGGCCAAAAAAAAGAATCATAAGCAAATGACATCAAGCATAGCTCATGCAGCACAAATACTGTAACAATCCCATGTGCTCATTCATATCCGTCATATATTATACACAGAAGTAATACGCAGAAGTAAACAAATGCTCACTTAAGCAATTGTTGACTAAATTACTATGCTTCCTAAATTAATGGACTTTGCAGACCACAGACTGGCCAAGTGTTGTCCCATTGTGGTTTGTCTGATTCGCTTTTCTCTGAATCGGTTGCATGAACAAAATTTGGACAACCTAAGAAATATTATTTTTGGGGGGGACAAATTGTTTCAGCCGCACTAATTTTTCGAGTTCCGAGATTATCCCTCACTGGTTTGTGGAAAATGAACACTACCCTGTACAAACTGTTATGTTATATTCATATGTGTAAATAGAAACAGCAAATCTATGGTAACTCTACAATAAATATAATTCAACTATTTGTGGGATGAGTCTTCCTGCTGTGATTGAGTTTAACTATTCTAAGGTTTGTAAAGGGGAACGGCTTCCCTTAAAAAGTATAAAAACCAGGCAAACGCACAATATACATGAATAGAGAAAACTACTTTGTAGTAAAGAAAGTCTTAGATATGTAAGGATGGAATTTAGAACATGAATTTTTATGTGTGAAAAATGTTCTATTTTAGCAATCATTTTTCTTTTACAAAGCATTTAATTTACTTTAACCTATGTTAATTAAAGGGCATAGTTTGGGTGCTAAAGGGTATATTGTGAGAATGTAGTATTTATAACAGGGTTATTCAGTAATAAAGGAAATCAAAGTGAATTTTAAATTTTAGCCAATCGTGAAGCTGAATTTTTAGAATTCAGCCATTCTGGCTTTAAATTTGAAGTTAATTTTGAACTCTCTCTTTAGTGTATAACTCTGTAACAGTTACTGAACTCCATTCAATTCTTGTTTTTCCATACTGGGGCACACAATCAAGTGGTTACTTACTTGGTCACTTTCTTTGAGGTTGGCTGCAACTGCTGCTCCAAATCATTTAGTGGCTGAACTTTTCCATGATTTACCATTTGGCACTTAGGCAAAAGAGTGGCAAAAACCGGTGAGTTTGAACAGCCCCTCTTCAATAACTTGCTGAAGGACAAGGTGACCTTGGTTTTTTGAGATGATTTGATCTCCATTGGGACAGTAAGGTGGTTTCCACCTGTGCCGGATTCTGACCCAAAAGATACGTCCGTATTGTCAGTAGGAGATGGAAACTGATTTTCACTGGATTCCCACTTTCTCTCTACGCCCGGAGTGCTTTCTATAGCTACGCTAATGGGCGAGGGGCAGGCAGCACAGTTTGGCAGGGTGACGTGTCCAGGGGAAGGAGAGGCTGGATCCCCGATAGGGTGGCAGGAGAGGAAGAAGCTTGTTGGGGATGGGGGGGCACAGGTACCGGTGTAGACAGTCAGGTGAGGGATTGGAGCAGTAAAATGGCACAACTGTAGGAAGACAGAGCACAAGGGAGTTAGAAGCAGGTTCTACTAGAAGTCACTTGGATTGTTTTGTGGTGTATTCTACCTATCTAAACTGATCTTAACCACACCACTTTCTTTACTTAGTAACACCCCATAATATTCAGATGTAGCACGGATTTGTAAAAACCACCATAATAGATAAATGTTCTGCCAATGAGAAAAACAAATCCTGAATTTTCTTATAACTTGTCTCCATAAGTTTTCTTTCTGTTAAATAGTAACACAACCATAACTAACAAGTATGTCCTTGTGTCTAGATGTCAATAAATGAGGTTAGTTTGAAAAGTAGAGACAGACAGAACATTTAATGTTTGTTGAGTTTATTCAGAGTGTAAGACATGCAATGTGGACATTGACCAATTGTGGCTGATCTATATTTCTCTTGCTTATTCCAGAATGATATATTTATTGTCTTAGATCTGGACGGTTATTCTCCTGAATCCCCTGATCCCTGTTTAGTAGGTTTGGCATCCGATGCAGTTTGGTTTTAATATCAGAGTCCCAACCATGAAAAGGGAATTATTGGCTTTCTATACAAGTGTTATCATTTAATACTGGGTGACTCAGAATCTCTGAATGTATTATAGAGATGAGCCCAAAATTCTGCATTCCAGAAAACTGACAAATCTTATTCTCACACCATAAGATGTTGATCCCTCCCTATAAAACACCCTCACACCGAGTTTTTGGAAATCTCCTTCACAGCCAAACAAAACGCACATCTTTTAAATCTTGCACTACAGTAAAGTGCAGGCCATCCACATGACTTCATGTTACTTTCCCTGTAACTCTCTATCAAATCCGTATGGTAAATAGTTACCAAGGAAGGGAAAAAGTCAAAATAAATTGCTGTTTCTTTAGGCTAGAACTCTACATGATGTGAGTGCCCTCTGGTTCTCTCAAACCGTTTATGAGCAGTTTGACGAAAACTAAGGCACTCTGAATGCCTACATCCTTGCATTTATGCTGCCTCTGGATAGTGTCAAAGTGAACATCTGCATTGGCCTATCCACCTCTAGGCAAT